TGGATGGATGGATGGATGGATGGATGGATGGATGGATGGATGGATGGATGGATGAATAGGTGAACAGATCAGGGGCCAATTTCTGCTGTATCTTAAGAAATCTGCCCCAAATTTGTTTCTCCTAGAGATACTCTCCTGAGGTGCAGAACAACAAAAGCAGCCACCTGGATCCTGCTGAGGCCTAAGCTCAATAGGCTGGAGGACACAGACTCCCTGCCTGGGATTACCTCTCTATTCCCCCTCCATCCTGGCTCCTTAGCCACAGCAACGGCCTCAGCTTTGGGGCACTTTTCCACCACTGGCTTCACTGGTAACTCCCAGCCACCTGCAGCTCAGGAGTTACTTCTTCATCGCTGTGCATCTGCCCATCGTGCCAAGTCCCTGCTGAGCCCCTGCCGAATCCCCATGGCCTTCAGCCGTCATGATCCAGACTGCCCTCCATTCGGCCCTTGCCCTTTACAGACTACTCCCAGGCAGACCCACAAGTTCCTGTCTTCCCAAAATGTCTTCCCAGTTCTACCTCCAGGTCTTGACACAGTCTGGGTGTATTTGCGGGCTCCCTCCTCAACTCATCCAGAAAAGCCTGGTACCTCTCTGGGAAGCTCTCCATGTGCCTACTATACTGTGAGGGACCAGGGAACCATGGTGATGGGGAGAAGGGAAGGAGGTCTCAGCATGCCCTCTGGGGTAAAACATGGGGGAACGGGACAGAGGAGAAATGGGAGGCCGGCTGGGAAAATTAAGACCTGTCGATGTAGCACGAATCTTAAATAGTCTTATTAATGAAAATAAACCTGGAATAAGGTATTGGGGTGACCGCTGAATGATCAGAGAAACAGAACAAGCCACAGCTTCCTCACTTCGCCATTTCCTCAGCTGATCCTGTTTCCTCAGACTGGAAGCCTGTGAGTCCTCACCTGAATGGATCTCAGCTGAACTGATGCTCCAAAGCCTAAAAGCTTAACCAGCTCTAGTTCCTGGTCCTCACGCCTTATATACCTTTCTGCTTTCTGCCATCACTTCCTGGAATTAAAGGCATGAGTTACCATTCCTGGTTGTTTCCAGTGTGGCTTTGAACTCACAGAGATCCAGGTGGATCTCTGCCTCTGGAATGCTAGGATTAAAGGTGTGTGCCACCACTGCCTATCCTCTATGTTTAATATTATGGCTGTTCTGTTCTCTGAGCCCCAGATAAGTTTATTGGGGTGCACAATATATCAACCACATGTCATGGTGGACATTTCTGGTCCTTCCAGAAGTCTCCTACCTCAGTTACCCTCCTCCATGTGCCTGCCCCTGCATGAACCCCTGCTGCGAAGCCTAGTCAGCCCTGTAGGTCCTGACCTAAAGGCCCTGAGAAACGGGAGCCCCATTTCCAACAGTCACTTTCTCAGGAAGAACCTGACTCAGAGTTGCAGTGTCAGACTAGGGGTGAGGCCAGAGTCCTTTCATCCACCTCCAATACACACGAGGTCAGCTCCCCCAACCCCAGCCCTTGGGACAAGGCCCTTGAGGTGACCCTGAGGCTGTGCACTGAGCCCTGTGGCTCCATTAGAAACATTCTGGGCCTACTCCAAGGAGAGGCTCCTTGTGTAGACTTAAGCCCTGGAGCACATTTCATAGGTTATCGTGAAGCATCAGCTTAGAAGGTAGACGGCTGGAGGGACCCAGCATCTCACCATCCTCCAGCCTCCCACAAGCCTTGGCATTCTCTTAGACTTGTGTCTTGTTTTTCCCAGGAGCTGCACCAGGAGGAAATGAGCACTTCCACATTATTGAATACAGTTCTCCAGGTTCCTGAAGACCCTCTCACTCTGTGACCCTCCCTTCTGCTGTTCTGGTGTACACCAGAGGGTACCAAAATGGAAAGGGAGGTGGGGGTGCAGGAAGGTGGAGACACGGGGAGCATCCTACAGCATTTCCTGCCTCTCCCTGGGCCTGGCCTGCCTTCTCGCCTTTCTCTTGTTCCTACCCAGCAGCCTCCCCATCACCTGGGGAAGAAGACATGTCAGCAACCTCAATGGAGCCAATGGAGTGTCAAACCCATGCAAGCCACACATGCTCCTAAATGAACAGGGCCCACCAAATGGCAAGTGATTTCACCTGTGCGCAGAATCAACACTGTGTACAGAACCCATGTTTGGGACCAAACAATGCCTAATGAGCCACCTGATCCTTTCTGGGAAAATTCAAGGGGTAAATTGCAGGGGCCTGTTCCCTGACACCTGTCCCTTCCCGGGTTCCACAGAGGGGCCTTGCAGCCCAGAGAATTTCCTAAGCAGATTGCAGGGCTTTGGGGCTGCCTTTTCTAACATGTCACTGATGGACCCATGGCTGGGCCGTTGGCCTGGCTGGGAGTTTGTCCCTGACTCCTGTGAACGCTTTGTGGTGACACTCTGGAGTCTCAGTCCCTCACCCAGCCTTGGCCTTGGTCTCTCCCGCCCCCCAAAGAGGGCCTCCAAGTTTGCACCCCCATGCTCATTAGCTCTAGCTTCCCACTGCTGGGTCAGAGGGCTCCTCCTAGGGTCTCCCCTGCAGAGGGGGAGGTGGTCCACAGCGTCAGAGCAGCCTCATTCTCCTGGGAATGTCCTCCAAGGAATGTTGGTCCAACAGGCTCTCCACCACAATTAGCCGTCCCCTCATCCTTGCCCTATAAATATTCATTTTGGAGATGTTATGAAGATGCTTTTTTAAAAATGCCAAGCTCATTTGGATAAAGAGCTGAGCTGCTGCCAAGTGCAGCTGGCAGACTGGGCTCTAAGGTGCAGAGTGCAGAGGCCGCCACTGAGCAGCTCCCCCAGCTCACATGGCCCTCTCGGGGGGATCGTTTAATTTGGGATGGGTTTTGGCTCCCTGCATGGAACATTTATAAACATTGAAGCAGACTTGGGATATGAGTGCGTGGTCCCTATCCACGAGAAGGTGAGCCGTGATAGCCCTAAGACCCATCCATGTAGACCTGGGTAGGAGATGACCACCCAGGGGTGCCGTATCACTGCCCACCTCTGTACAGAGCTGGCTCCACATCCCAGGGGCCTCGACAGCCACTACCATTACCCTAACCTGACATGCCCTCCCCCTCCCCTGTCTGGATCTCAGGCTGTACAAACTGAACTCACTCTGTCTCCAGGGTAATCTGTGAATCTGAGGTGAGTGGAGGCTACCTGCCCAGCCTGCCTTCCCACCAAATGTGGCCGGATGTTGGGATCCAGTGGGTGCTGGGGTGTAACATTCGCCATTCACCGCTTCTGACTGTTTAAAGAAAGAGGGGTCTCAGGCACAGGGGTGGCCATAAACTTGTGTACCAGAGGAGCTTTGGCTCTCAGGCAAGGGTTGGACACACCCTGGAATCCCTGAGAAGGTTCATCTCTGAGGCACAGGGTCTGGCCATACTCCTGAGTCCCCAAGGACACTTTCCCTCCTCTGTCTCCTTCCTCCCTGACTAGCTTTCTCTGAGAACCACCCAGCTAGGGAGGGAGTCATCCACTTAAAAAATGAAGTTCTGTTAAGTCTTGATGAATGATTCTGCCGTCTCATAAAGCTCCAGAGGAAGTCCAATTCGGGTTCTCAAAACCTTGGAGGTATTCCTTAAATTTATTACAAGCCCTTATAAATTATTGAATTAGAGTCCTCGGGTATCCTTTTGTGGAGAAAGCAGGCCCGAGATGGTGATTGTCCCTTTATCTGGGGACTCCCCCAATTGTAGCTTGAGGCTCCCTCAGGAAATCTTAGTGTCAGGAGTTTGGGCTGGGAAAGCCAGATCCACAGGATCAGAACAGGGGCTCAGCCTGGAGAGAGACCTTCAGGTATGGCTCTCTGGAACCTTCACCCATCTAGATCCAGGATGTTGAGGACATTCGGCCCTCCATCTCACCAAGAGGTAAAGGTTTTCATCCTAAAACCCCAAACTCCAGCTCCTGGGGCCCTTGATGTGTGTAATCACTTGCATAACTCCTTGACCTACAGGTATCAGAAGGAAAGGGAGGGCAGGGCTGGTCTGATTGAAGGTGGCAGCCTTGCTGTGAACTCTGCCTGAAAGCCTTGGGAGTGTGGAGCACAGCCCTGCAGAAACAGGGCTGTCTACTCCACAGCACCAAGAAGTTGAATTCCATGACAACCTTATGAGTTTGGGAGAGGACTGACCTTCTGGAGAGACAACTCTAGTCATCACCTTGACTTTAGTCTGTGGCCTCAACTTGAGGCCTTGCTATAGTCTGCCTTCAGTCCATGCAGTTCTTTTTCTTTTCTTTTTTTCTTTTGATGGTTTTTCGAGACAGGGTTTCTCTGTGTAGCTTTGTGCCTTTCCTGGAACTTACTATGTAGTCCAGGTGGGCCTCGAACTCACAGAGATCCGCCTACCTCTGCCTCCCAAGGCCTGGGATTAAAGGCGTGCACCACCACCGCCACCCAGCCAGTCCATGCAGATTGTACAATGATTCAAGAGGATCCCTAGGTCTCTCAGAGTCAAGTTCCTTACAACTCAGAGTTGTCTTTTTGTGTGGGTAGTAGACGGTACCTGCTCTGCATTTTATCCCAGAGACACAGAGCCGGGAGTCATGGCCCTAGACTGTGTGTTGTGCCTTGCTCTGTGGCCAGTCCTCCTCCTGGCCCAACTAGGAAATCTAGAAGACTCCAGTGCCCTCCTTGGAGCCCTAGGACTCTCAGCCTGCTGCCTTCCTCCTCATGCCGCGTTCCCACTGATCTAACTGTACCAAACCTTGAGTGGGGTGGGCTGACCACACTGGAGAAGGCTTCAACAGTGGGGTGTTCTCCGCAACACTGGGACAGGGGGGGAAGCACTGCAGTGGGTGGCGGGGACAGGGTCTCCAAGCAGGACTTCCTGCAGCCCCCTCCTGGCAAGGCTGCTGCCTACAAGGCCCTCTTTTGAGGTTCTGGGGTGACCTTCAGCAAGGCTGTGGTGCTGGCTGCGCTGAGGCATTCTGCATTCATGGTTATGAGTGATTTTATTGCCCAGTCAGTAAGAACCTTCTGATTATGTCATTGCAGAGGCAGCTAGATGCCAAAAAATATGCATTTCCTTCCGTCTGCTGCTGACCCCTCTGCCTTCATGCCAGCTTTCTCCTGGTGCCTCTCCTATGCCCTCTGTGATTAATAGGACCTGGAGATGCACCAAGGCTCCCCAGGGCTGAAGTTGGAAGAGCAGAAGGGCCCACAGTCATCAGGCTCTCCGGTCCCTGTGGAGGAGGGCAGAAACTGCCTCCCTATGAAGCCTGTCCAAGATAGGCTTCCCAGGACACTTGTCAGCCTGGCTCCTCGGGGCTCCTTGGTCACAGTGGGGGTGGGGGTGGCCTTAGTGTCCAGCCAGGACACACTGAGAGGTTGACATCAGCACAGATTCATGCTGTATACTGGGCACCTGTTAGGCAGACCCAAGAATAGCCTTTTCCAGGGGGCCAAGCAGTCTGTCAGAGGTTAGGAGGAATGGGGGCATGTGACTCTCAGTCCTCTGATGAAGTTACCCTCCTCTTCAGACATGGAATGTATAATGCTGACACTGGAGCTGTTTGTATCTAGTCCTCCATTTACCTACCTAGGAAAAGAGGAGTTTCCATCCATTCTCTGTGCCCTGGTGGGGAAGAGATGACAATCTGACCAGCAGTAAAGGTGAGAGGATAATACTTTGAATGCATGATACTCATGACTCAGGGACCCACCTCACTCCCAAATCCTTGCTCACCTAAATTGCACTAGCCCAGCAACTTTCAGATCCTCTAAGGACCCATCCACACCAGCCCTTAGACTAAATCATTCCTGGTATACCTGACTTCAGGTTAGCTCAGCTCAGGGACAAGGACCAAGGCCCACCTAGGATGAACCAACTCTGGCATAGACAAGAGCTGGGTTAACTTTATGGGTGCTGAGAGATTGACAGGACACCCAGACAGGGCTCCTTCACAGACCCTGGTCACCCTCTCCTGGA